AAAGTAATCTAGGATGTTAAGAATGTATTTATTCAGTATCTAGTTTTTTTGTGTTACCAGATCAATTAGCTAATAGTCACCCAATTCCTCAGGAGACGAGATCAGACGGAATGTGATAAGAATACAGTTAAAAAATGCTCAACTTTTCCAAAATAAGAACCTATGAAGATTTGTTGAAAGAATCTATGAAAGGTTCCTGAAAGAATCTATGAAGATTTGCTACAATTTGAGGCAAAATTTGTTGATGGCTAAATCTAATGGCACCCTCTCCATTTTGACAATTTTATTTTAATGTTCAACTTGCTTTTGGTTGTTTACTTTTTGCTTCTGATACAGAGGCCACAGGTCTTTAATAGCACACAGAAATGGATGGGGGGGGCACTGAACTTTTAGGGGCATCCAAAACTGAAATGGGACATGAACCCACTTAAATGAAAATCTTTCCAAATAACCTGGTCAAGATCTGAGATTTGGATAATCGTGCTAGGATTATTTCTAAATAAATGGAACGTGGTTTCAGATAGTTGAAAAGAACAGCTGTGGTGCTTTGAAGAGAGGCAGTTTATTTGGGGGGCTCTTCTTTTCTCTCCCTTTGTAAAATTACCACATCCTGCTGCCTCTGCCTGTGTTCACTATTAAGACTGTGCATTAAAATAATATACAGTTCCCTTATTTTCAGTTCAGTGCCCAAAGTATCCTAATACACTCAAAGAGAATGGCAAAAATAATTTTTAAAGAATCTGCACATCTTTATTATTTGTTTCTCTGATCAGCTGGAAGGTATCAGCTCCACAGCTTGGTGTCAGAAACAGACTGGAGGAGGACTGCATGCAAAACAACCAGTCATTCGCCTTTCTTTTCCTTTCTCTTTGTTTTTTGCCTTCCTGGATACTGTTGGGAGTGAGAAAAGCAATTCGATGCATCAGGATGCTCCCTCCCTCCTTCCTACATCCAGAAACTTGGTCCATTGTACAGTTCGGAACTCTTTGTTGTCTTTGGCTGGGCAGACAACCGTGGGTGCAAAATAGGGTTTTTGTGTAGTGCTCAGCACTCTTTCCTCTACTTTGCACTCAGTTAATTAGCCTCTTTCCCTCATTTTGTCTTTGGGGGGAAAAGACTTTCTACCAATACTAACAGGGAAAAAAAATGGGTTAAAAACGTGCTTATATTGTTGTGAACATCTGATCTTTCAGCTTTTTGGCAATAAGATAGTTTATATGTTTGTCTTTAGTGGTTTCTACTGGAGTCCTTTTTTAAAAAACAAACAAAGGAAACATTTGGAACTATATGCTCTGTTGGCACCATTGTGTTGTTTTGCCAATTCTCCAGAATCTGTTGTCTCTTTCTATCTACCCAAGGTTATATATTTATGTCAGAGGTGTAAGGGAGTTAAAAAAAAAAAAGGCAAGGTAGAAGGTCCAATATGCAAGCGAAGTCCTACCCCCTTTTTACATGTGTATAACAAACTTTAAAAAGTATGGTGTTTTGATCACAGGGTTGTAGCCATCTTGACTTTTTTAAACCCCTTACTGTGGCTACCCCATGTCTTCCAATTTGTCATTATAATTCTCGCTAGTTAGGGTTAATGCTACAGTTCAGACTGGATATATAAACTCTTCTATTCTTAATCAAGATCAGAATAAACGAAGTAATGAAAACTGCAACGTTGGTTCCTGAATTAATATAGTTCATTGGCTTTTGATTTTCTTGAAACAGCATCTGGATTGTTTGGGTCACATATTCATTTAAAAAAAAAATACCTAGCCTGCCAGAGCATGTCCTTATATTGATTTAAGGATTAAAGAGATCAATTTTATTTGGTGAAAATGTATTTTCTCATTCCAAATCTAAGACCAGAACACTATCCTCTTGATTTAATGACTTAAAGAAATGTACAATGTTCAAAGGACACATAAGAAATAATTATTTTTTAATTTGGGACTGAGCCATGATATTTTGCATTATCAGGCAAGTGGCCACTTGTACTATTCTTCCAAGCACTGGTTTGTTTTGGCACTTGAGGCAGAAAATGCAGAAGAATGTCCTCTCTTTAGCAATAAAAATGCAACAGTGAAATATTAAATAATTAACTATGTGTTATGACATTCCGACAATATAGTGTTTCCCCATTAGAGCTTAGTAAGAAAACTGACTTTCTTGCATAATGCTGCAATTGCTACAATTCTAGAATTCAGACTCATCATGTACCAAATGTTTTAACATTAACTTAACAGATTGTGGAGCCCCTTGGCCTCAACTGGAATGCATAGATCCCAGAGATGTTAGTCAGAACATATTAAAACTGCAGGCGAGACAAGAGTGTTTAACGTAATGCTAGTCAGGATGGCTTTAGCATCCACCGTATCACCCATTGAGTGCAATTAATTTGGGAAGTAAACAACAATCACCAGTGCCATTCCAATCCCTACCACCAGGGAAAGCAGGGCCTTAAACAGCCCTTCTGCTAATTTTTTTCGACCGAATATGACTGTTGAGATTGTAAATAACCTACATGAATGGGCCCTGCAGACACATTTTATCGTAAATTCATGCAGACAAATTTATATCGCAGTGCCATCACCAGAGTCCAATTCCAAATTAAGTTTTGATTGGCACTTAATTTCTAAGACTTCAGATCCATTACTTGCCTACTGTCTTATGCAAAAGGAGAAAGGGGGTACCCTTTTACCAAGGGAAATACCCAAGGGTTACACTTCTCCAGGAATTTATTTTAATGTGCTGATGTATTTTTTCTGTTTCAGAAATGTAGTGTGAGAGGTGCTCAGAGTATAACACATGCCTCTTATCTCCAGGAGAGCCATTACACAGACAAGAAAGTCTGAGGGATCATGATACAATACTAAGCATCATAAATGTAATAATTACTACAATTGAATACAGACTGTTGCCTCTATCAAGCAATGGAATCTTAGCTCTTCTTGGTAAGGTCCATATTCATAGGCTGCATTAAGTCAGAGTGTGTTTCTGGTATACTATGAAACCACAGCGAATCGTGGCATTACTTTAATATGTTATTAGGAACACAGAAAAGCCCTGTTGTTTCTGTTTTCCTAAGAACAAAAATCCACAAAATCCTTCCTTATTCATAAAGTAGTGACTTATCAATTTCAATCTTCCCACCTATACAGGTAGCCTTCGACTTATAAACTACAAAGGAGCCCAACATTTCTGTGGCTAAGCGAAACATTTGTTAAGTGAATTCTGCTCCGTTTTATAACCTTTCTTGCCAGAGTTGTTAAGTGAATCACTGCAGCTGTTAAGTTAGTAACCCAGTTGTTAAATGAATCTGGTTTCCCCATGGACTTTGCTTGTCAGAAGGTCCCAAAAGGTGATCTCATGACCCCGTGACATTGCAACTGTCCTAAATATGAACCAGTTGCCAAGCATCCAAATTTTGTTCATGTGACCATGGGGATGCTGCAGTAGTCATATGTTTGAAAAACGGTCATTAGTAACTTTTTTCAATGCCATTGTAGCTTTGAACAGTCACTAAATGGACTGTTGTAAGTCAAGGACTACCTGTGCTTCCCCAAAACATGGCAGAGCTTATACTGGGAGGTGAAATGATTAATTTTCAGATGCAAAGAAGGTTGAAGATATTCAATACTACAGGCATACCTAAGTCTTCCTATTCAACAATGGAAAGAACCGCCACCCAGGAATTTCTACAGCAGAAGCCAAACCAATGCATTATTCCATCAAGAAGCATTCATAGACAAGTTGTTGCACTGCTAGTGCAAGCATGATGGTAGGCTTGTGCAATTTGGCACCCTCCAGATGTGATGCACTGTAGCTGGCATTATTCCTAACAAGCACTGAAAACTGCTGACTAAACTGATAAGGGATTGGGAGTTAAATATCTGGAGTAGGAAGGAAGATCTTCTGAGGAAGATTGCATTGATCATCAACTTGAGTTTAGGGATGATTTATTCACTGGGAATGTGTGCTCCAATATTGTGTCCAAAATTAGAACAACAGATTAAAAACAATCAAACAAAGCCAATAGTCTGGTAGGCACTGCTTATGAGGGTTTCCCTTGTTGGCTTTAGCAAATGATAACTTGCATGCATTAGAACACCCACCCATCCAGCCAATGTTAATTACCCCCATTGGGCTTTCATGCACCCCAGCAGCAGTGGAAAACACAACACAACACAACCAAAAATAATTCATGTATGAAAAAAAAAACAATACCGGAAGACATGTTTCAGAAAAAGATGAATTTGTAAATTTGCTCATAAATGACAGTCAGCCACCTCCTAATAAAAGTATTATATCCCTGCCCCTTTGGGGTTTTATCTATTGGATTAACATAGCTTCGATGATTTTTATATCATAAAATACATATTGCTATTTAAAAGCAACACTATCCTCCTGGCAATATTTTCCTCCCAAGTACTTAATGTTTATACAATATTGTTCTGAGTAGGTTATGGGATTAGTAAAATGACTATTATAAATAATAATCTCTTCCAAGGAGAAGCTAATATGCTAATGACAACTTAAGATGCCCACTGTGACTCCAACTCTAATTGTTCCATCAGCTCTAAGCCGAACCCAAACTCATTGCCCTGCTTCTCAGGCAGAAGAGCTATTCCCCAAATTCTTAATATCAGGGAAATATCAGCCCTCCTCCCACTCATTCAAGTATACATTTACACAATTCGTTACTCTTCTCTGATATTTATATTAGATCAAATTGGTCAATTCCGTACACTTCTTAGGTGCATCTTTGCAGGATTTCCTCTCCACCCCTCCCCACCTAATATTCTTCTCTTTTCTGAAGTGACTTCCTGCTTTCTTTTACCCTCCTGTAATATCCATGCCATATTTACCCAAAAGACCTTTTCACACTACATGAAACTGAGCAAATATAAAAAAAAAATGATATCATGAGAAAATGCATAGAAGCTCTGCATAATAACCACAATCCTAAGAATAGTGACAGTGATTGCAATGGGAGAGATATAAGTATGTACCTCTTTCGTTGCCCCATAACCCGCTCTGTAAGAGATAGATTTCTTCCAGAGTTGCTGAAAGGATAAGAGCACTGGTCAAGTTTACAGAAAATTGATTTCCAGCTTGCAAATAACAATGACAAGTTCATTCAAAAATTGCAGAGCTCACACTGGCTTTGGCTGAAGCTATACAAATGCATATGGATTTTCATATCTTTTTGCTGTAGTACAAATGTTTAATATTTGTGCTGGCCAAAATACATGGCAAAGAGTTTAAGGATGATCATTTTTACCACCTTTGGTTTCTTATTTCCAATTATATTGCTTTTATCCATGGAACTGGCACTATGTTTCTTTTTAATAAAGATTTAATAGAAAACCCTTTGCTATTCCTTTGGTGAACAGTCTCCAGAAAGCCCATAAGTTAACTTGTTTTTAATGGTTCAAGAAAAAAAAAAACACAACCATCTTTGTTGTTAATTTTTCCATTGTAATCATTGAATATTAGAAGTTAAACAGTGCTTCACTCTGGTAATTTATGTCCAATATGTATCAATGGTAATCTAAGCATTCACGACACAGATGGAAAGCAAATATATAGATAAATACTGAAAAATTATCTGGGTAATGTCAGCATGTGATAGTAACCTAAAAAAAAATCACTGCAGAAAACAATTTAATTATTAAAATGAAGCCATATCTACTGACAAGCTGTGTAATTTGCATTCAGAGAACTTAGCATTCTTTTTAAAACTCTTTGTTTTTATTTATTGTGACTAGCTCTTTTTCTGCAGATGGCATCTTTTCCATGAAAGTTATTAATCTACTGTAATACAGGCAGTCCTCGCTTACTGACCACTCATTCAGCAACCATTCAAAGATACATTACCGAACAATGAAACTTACATCCTATTGTCAAAAGTTGCAGTTGCCAGAGCATCCCATAATGACATAATTGCTATTTGTGACCTTCACACCTGACAACAATCACAGACAGAACTATTATCATAAGCCAGTGCTATCATATGATGTTACACTTTATGACATCATTTAGCAATGGAATGGCCAGTCCCCATTGTAGTAAGTGAGGACCCATCTGTAGATAGAATAGGATGGAACGCCTTTCTATGTTGTTTGATATACATACTGAGTACTTGCAGTTCCAGTATAATACTTACTACTGTACCACTATAAATAACAGGACTGTCAAACTCCTGGCCCGCGGGTCGGATGCGTCACGTGCTGGCCACGCCCACACTCGGTTTAGCAAAGGGGGGGAAAAGTCCTGATATGTCACGTGACGCCGCCGTGATGCCGTGAGTTTGACACCCCTGGTAAATAAGATGGGGAGAAAATAGGGAGTGGTAAGACCATCATTAAGTATTGAAATAAGGATGGCCATTCTTTGACTAGAATCTTAACCTTAACTCACGCTGGGAGGAGAGGGAATGATCGAAAAATGCTCCCCCTCCCAAGCGGCAGACCAAAGGTGCGGTCCTCAACGGTGTTGGGCTGGATCGCCCTTCGTGCCGGAGGGGAAGAGCTCAACCAGCAACTGGGAGCTCCTTCCCCGATGGAAAAAAATCGCCTAGAAGACACTGTAGCGGGATCAGGCAGGCTCGCCCTTCACGCTAAGAGCCTGAAATTAATTCAACCAGAAATTGGGCACGCAGGCTGTAGCCAAGAAAAAACAGCAGCTCAGAAAAAAGCGTCTGTTCCAATCAGACCGAGCCTGAAAGCTGGGAAGCAACGGAAGGAGGAGGTGCTTAACAGTTTGCAGACTCGGTCCCATTGGCTATCAGACGGAGTTATGCCCATGCCTGGCTGCCGTTCCCACCCAGCTGGAGAATCTGACTTTCATTATATTTGATACCATTTAACAGGTAACAGGGCATGAGATAAACAATTACTAGCAGATTTCCAATTCATTCAAAGATAAGGAGTTTATTTTGCAGGGTGAATTCACTGTTTGTAAAAGAGAAAGTAAGTATTTTGGTGGAAAACACTGGCAAACCTCTAGGGCAGGCCTGTCAAACTGACGGCCCGCAGTCCAGATGTGTCACGTACAGACCACACCCATCCCAGCTCCGCAAAGGCAAAAAACATCATGATACATCACATGACACAATTGAGTTTCTCCTCCCCATTTGTTTCTGGCTCAGAGAGTGGTGTGGTGCCCTAGAGGTGGAGCTCTCACAATCAGGAGGCTGTGAGTTTGATCCTAGGTAGAGGCAGATATTTCTCCCTCTGGGAACACTGAGAATATATCTGCTGAACAAAACTCTGCATTGGCGACAGGAAGGGCATCCGGCCATTAAAACATTCTACTAGCTTCATTCAGTTTCCCAGACTCCACCCCGCAAGGGATTATGGGGTCGTTAAAAGAAGACGATGATGATGATTTGTTCCTGGCTCAGCACCCATTCTGAATAGTTAAGAGACTTGGAATAAAATGGATTAGTCCTCTGATAAACTAAACAATATTTCATTTAGTGGTTCATTATATATAAAATTATGTAAAACAGCAAGAATTTATGGATCTAGTGTCATCCAGGCACTGCTACTTATTCCATGTATGGACTGTAGCACAGGGTCAATTTTTCACTAAACTATTGGGATCAATGGCAAGAAAGGACTCATTAGAATGTAAACACCACTGAATCAGATACCTAGAACAAGTTATAAACTGCATTGTTTTGGTTGCACACAGCCCAGGCGGCAGAACAGCATGAATTTATGCCAGAAAAGGCCAGCTGTCAAAAAATTGGCTAAATGTCCTTCTGTTTCAGACATTAGCTTATAAAGAAATTAAGGATTCGGTTAAACTAATTCACTTTTAGACGAGATTGCCATCATAAGGCTGACAGTATTCCAGTAGCTCAATAGTCAGACACAGAGACTGTCAATGATCCTGCAAGCAATTAACTTTCTTCCAGCTCCTCAAAACTGCATTATGTAGAAAGGGAGATGGGAGTCTTACCCAGGCTTTTCAGGAAATGCCAAAACACAATGATGCCACGTGTCATAAGCTTTATCCGATTGCCAAAAATGATAATGGGACAAACGGATGAGTGGTTGGCTGGGTAAGTTGAACAGGGCAGGGCACAATCAGCCCAATAATTTTGCAATTTGTACCAACAGCAACAAAATACCCATAGAGAGTCACTAGGCTCAATTATACAAGACCTAATGAGGACTGATGTGCGGAATGAGCTAATGTTTCATTTATTGGATAAATAAAATGGGTACTAAGTATTATGGATAGCTACTGCTTAAATTAGGCAAAAGCCTGTGAATATCTAAATTCACGTTTATAATTGTGAATTGTGCTTGATTTTGCAACTTTTTCTGCCGTGGTTGTTAAGTAAATCACTGTAGCTATTCAGTGAATCTTGCGGTTGTAAAATGAATCCAGCCCTAACATTGACTTTGCTTGTTGGAAGCTGGCTGCGAAGGTCACAAAATGGTGATCACATGACCCTGGAATCCTGCAATTGTCATAAATGCATAATGTCTGCCAAGCAACCAGATTTTGATCATGTGATCATGGGGATACTGCAATGGTCATAAGTGTGAGGAACGGTTATATAAGTCACTTTTTTCAGTGCCGTTGTAACTTCAAACTGTTGCCAAATGAATGGTTGTAAGATGAGGACTACTGATAGTTAAAACTTCTTTAAAAATATATTAAACTGAAAAATGCTTCAGGTGATATAGTAGAGAAACAACATTGATTGCACTTGTAGATTGCCATTGGCAGGACTAGAATGGAGGTACCGTGTTTCTCCAAAAAGAAGGCCGGGTCTTATTTTCTTTTAACCCCCCAAAAAACAGCTAGGCCTTCTTTTTGGAAGGTTCTAATTATTGACTCACCTCGCGGAGGTGGCCCCGACAGCCCACTGCTGGCCCACTTCTTCTGTGGCCGCTTACCATCACTCGCACGCATCGCCCGGCCTCTGTTTCGCTTTTAGATGCCTGCCGGAAGGCATCTGAAACTGATAACAAGAGCTCCAGATCAATCCGGAGCTCTGTTATCGGCTGCAGATGCCTTCCAATAGGCATCTGAGGGCAAAACAGAGGCCAGGGTGATGCGAGTGGTGGCAAGCAGCCGCAGAAGAAGGCGAGGTTGGGGTGTGTGAGGCCTGGTAAATAGGGCAGCTTCTCCCCCACCCCATCCCCACCCTAGCTTATTTTTTACCTGTGTGCCTCGCCCCGCCCCCTGCACCCCGGGGTGGGTGGGGTCTTAATTAGGGCTAATTTTGTGGGTGGGGCTTAATTTGATCACATACGCTCAAAAACATGGTAGGGCTTCTTTTCAAGGTGGATCGTCTTTTTGGAGAAACACGGTAGTACCTCATTTCTTGTGGCCTCATTTCTCCCAGTGGCTGTTAATACCACCAAACATGGTATCCTTCTGGACTGGCTACAAGGTTTAAGTTGCACGGTGTTGCAATGCTTTTCCTCCTTCTCCAGGATCAGTTCTCACTGATAGGAGAGATTTAGCCCAAGGTTCTATTCTTGCTCTGCTCTTATTTAACATTTACATGAAACTCCTGGGTGACCTCATGCTTCAGTATCAGGTCAGGTATCATGAATACACTCACGATACCTAGTTACGAATCTCCGTCTTTGGCTGAGCCAGTAATGCTATCAATGTTCTTTTTCAATAGCCGGGGGGGGCAGCTGTTGGTTTTGGGGTCCTTTGGCTATAAGAGACTCTCCACCTTTAGTACTGAGCAAGTTTGCATTCCCTCAGACAAACCTGGTGCACAATCTGAGGAGCCTTTAGGTCTCTCTGTATTTGCCACAATCCATACTGTGTTAACTACACCATTCCAGGATCTGGAAACCCTACTCGTGGTTACTTTTCCTTAGTGATTTCATCTGAACAACACGTTCATCAGAGCAGGGGTCCCCAACCCCCCAGGCTGTGGCCCGGTAGTGGCTGCAGCCCATTCAGAAACAGGCCACGCAAGTGGTGGGTGAGCATGTGTGCGTAACTCTAATTGCACCAGTGGCTGGCACTCACACTCAGGCGTAAAGCTCCATTTGTGCAAATGGCGGGCTAATGCTCA